GCCCCCTCAGTGAATAGACTGGGGATGCGCAATGGGCTGGGACGGGACACGAGCCAGATGACCTGAACTAACCAAAGGGATATTCCATACCACATAACATCATGCACAGCAATAGAAAGGGAAAAAAATGGGCTTCTAGCAAGATATCTGTCTTTTGCTCAGGAACTGGCTGGGCATTAGTCTGCCCATGGGAGGTGGTGAGTGATTGCCTTTGCATCACATGTTTTGATTTCTTTCTCTCTCCTTTCCCGTCTCCTTTGCTTATTAAGCAATTTATGTCTTGATCCACAAGTTTATTGTTTTTACTCTTCCTTTCCCTTCTCCTGTCCCATGGGAGTGGGTGGCTGGGGAGGGTGAACAAGCAGCTGTGTGGTGCTTAGCTGCCTACTGGGGTTAACCCACAACAGTCTTGTAAGGACATAGTCCCATAATTTAAATTAGTTAACAAGTTATGGACACCAATCCTGGCTTCTGTGGTGGGAAAGAACTTTGGGCTTTTAGCATTTCTGGAAATTGTAAGAAGCTCTTCCCCAAGGACGTGATGTGTCTGGTTTTGTGTGCAGCATAGTAATGAGATTCCACAGTAGCACTGACCAGTACCGTTTGGTGTGATGCATAAAGGTGAGACTTTGGAGCTGATGGTGCACGTTGAGTTGAGTAGGCCAAGGGTTGCCTTTTCAAAGCAGAACAGTGCTGTTTGAGAAACTATTAAGAAGACATGAAACAACTAAAACTTGCAAAACCTTCCTGTGCTGATATGACGAAAATCTGAATATTATCTCACTAGAACAGTGTAGTCTTAAAATGGAGTCTTCTTATCAGGAAGGGAGCAGTTACTTTAGAATTGACTGTTGCAGTCCTGTGCATCAGTAAAAATTTTAAGTAAATTAGAGCATCAATGTAAATTGTTTCAGGCAAATAAAGTATCACGAGAACTGCTGATTGTAATGCTTTCAAATTAAGCAATAATATATACACATTTATAGGCATGCCAGCCACACGAGGCCTTAAATAGTCCTGGCTTTCTAGTATTTATTCATTTACTGTGTGTCATTTTAGGATTATTTACTATAATTAGAAATAATCCTGACATATTAGCTTTCTCCCCATGCTAAAATCTGATCAGGCCTTTCAGTGTTAGTCTGTTTCTGTGACTGTGGAAAACAAGCCTAAAGCTTTGAACTCGCAAGCCAGTAGTCACAGCAGGTCTGTCCGCAGCAATCTACACGTTTGCATTCCTACCACATGCAGTAAGGTTTTCTCTATAGACCCATGTCTCCGAGGAATTCAGCAAGGAACAAGAAATCTTCAGTCAGAGAAGGGCCACAAGTGTGTGAAAAACTAGCCACACATAAACAGTAAAGGTCATTAGCAGGCTCCTAAAATCCTGGCTAGAAATTAGTTTTTTGCATCATTAACGGTAAAAAGCCTAGGAAATGAATAGGACTCAGTGTCCTATTAAAAATTAGCCAGAACAATTAAAGGGTTTTCCAATTTTTAATGGGAACCAGACCTAATAGCTCTTTTTCCCTTGTCTAGCGGGCTGTTTCTGCATTTTGAATTACATTAACTTTATGTCCTTGTATTTTTAAAGAAATATCTTGAAGTATTTTTTTGCATGGGAGTTGTAAATTATTTACAGTGAGGGCAGTGAAAGCTTGGGAGAAGTAGAATCTAGTGTCTCCCTAAGACTGTGTTACTGATTCCCAGTCTTGTGACTCTAAACTAGTACAGTGAGCTATGACAGGATTTCTTGTGGTGTGTGCGAGTGTATACTTTGCAGACTCCTAATACAGTTGCTGTATTATGCGATCCCACAAGGTAAAATGCTCATTTGGTTGCAAATGCACAGTCTTTTTTTGTGTGAGGTGTCTCTCCTTAGGGTATTACATGTTTTCCTAAACTCAGTTTTCTGATTTCAACAGCAGCCTTTCTGCTTTCATTTCAAGGTAAGTTTCTTGCTGCTGAGTGGGTGACTGATGGCTATTTAAGAGCTATCCCCTCCTCTCCTGTATATTTTTCCTTAACCCTAAAATGATTTTGGAACAAGAAAATTGTGAACAGTTTGCCTTTAAAATGTAATTTTTGGAAAGTTATATTAAATATTTTCTTTTTCCTTGTCTTTGTATCCTTGCAAGTGTGTCTTACAAAACAATCCAAAGGAAAGGAGAGATAAATAAAGAACAGAAATAAGCAATGTTTTACACTGTCTGCTTTGCCTGTGGGTCGGCCATTCTGGAGGAAAAGAAGCCCACAAATCACCAAACTTTTTCGCTCTATAGCTGTTATACTCACATCCCTCTCTGCTCACCTTAGGAGGCTCTAAATCTTCCCACCTAGCCCTCTGTTAATAATCAAGATAATCTATTAACTAATTGTCAACACAAGCCATGTGACATTTCTGAAAGGAAAAAAAAAAGAAAAAAACAAATTTGGACAAGGAAAAGTAGATTGCAGATAAATGGGGTGAGGATGCGTGGAATAAAAGGACAAAAGAAAGGCAGAACAAGATGATCATCCTTGCTATGTTCATTTTGTACTCAGCCAGTCATTTACACCAGATGCAGAATTCCTTTCTGCAGATAGTGAATTGCCCTGTCATTAACATAAAATTAGCTCCAAATGATCCTGGCCAAGAGCTTTGAAATATGTTAGTATAGAACCACACACTCAAAACCATGTGGGAATCCATGCGGGTTTCCAGATGTGAGAATCTTCTGTGATACAAATATAGTTATGTTCACGTAGGATAATATTCTGCTCTGTGGATATAATCTAGATGCAGCTGTGCTTCCAGTAGTGGTATAACTGTTACTGTGGTGCTCTGCCTGAAGGAATGCATCTTGTTTCTTATAGTGAGTCCATTCTAATAATAACTACTTGTAAAGGGACATTGTCCCACAAATTAAAGTACTCCTTCAAGAAATGTAAGGAATTCAGCACAGGCTGGCAGATTAGATTGAGTGAAAATGTGAAAAATTCCATGTTTCATTTTTAATTTGTCATGTGTTTTACTACTAATTCTTTTTTCCCTGTCTGACTTATTTTTCTTCAGTGAGTAATTTCTGCACTATGATTGAAATTTAAACGCCTGAGAAAAGTTTGAAGTGATCATATTTTTTTCTTTGTTATCTAAATAAGTGCTTAAAAGTGGTTTGATTTCCGTTATATTATCAAAAGTACATTGATTGATACCAAGATTAGCTGAATCTCAGTAACTACCTGATTGTTAATCTAAAAAAGCTTTCTACACATAATGATAATCTGTAGATGCTATGTTTATTTTTTTGTTTATTTGTTTAAAAACCCTAAATATCTCAATTTCTTTATTGCACTTATCTTCTTTTCTATGTGTAGGAAGGGAACGCAAAATGTCTTTGGGAAGGAAATTGGTCTGTGCAGAAAAAGACTAGTGGGTTGAATAAATCAGTAAAACTGAGTTTAAGTACATCAGCTATTGTAATCAGTCTATAGTAGTGGTTATTAGCTATTATTGCTGTTTGAAAATGTAAATACAGAATGGTGACTGAAAATAACCTAAAATGTCTTTCCTGTTCACTTTGTAGTGTTACCTTGTAATTTTTAATAGGCGTGAGTTTAAGAAAGAAATGCTATTTCCTTCCTGACTGAAAACTGTCCCCTTTCATGAAGACGAATAATCAGTTTTCAGGCATAATCCACACACCCTGTACTACTTGGGCTGTGATCTCATTGTGTCATATGCATCAAACAGGGTCGTATCACTCCTGTACTTCAGAGACCTTCAGAGAAAAGAAATAATCTGATATTGATCTTCCCTCTGAAATGACAGTAGCTCCATGCTAGAGCACAATATAAATTCTGTTTAATAGTCATTACACTGCGAATAAATTTGTTGTTTGACATAAATCATTGCAACCCGAGGGAGTTAATCAGATTGGGGAAAACTGAGGTTTTGATTGTAGAAAGCATCTTTTTCCATTAAATACCACATAGTATCTGCAACTTTTATAATATATATTATAACTTCTATATATCATATTTCATGAGCAAATGTATTATGCTTATCTAAAATATTTCCTGTTCTTTTCAGTATAATCTTTAAATTGTTAGGGAGTGTTGTGCTTCTCTTTTACCAAGGAGCACTAAGGAATGTAAAGGCTAGAAGAAACTTCCCATTGCAAGCCTCTTTAAGCAAAACATCCTTTGTTATTCTTCACCATTACCAGCTAATATCAGTCGATATGTTTAATATAAAATTTTAAGAAATGTCCAGTAAAGGAAATGTGAATGATAAAAATGACAGTAGTATGCCACTGTCTGAATAAGAAGTTGACTGAGAAGCTACATCTGTGAGCTATCCAAGCAGTGACACCTTGTAGAAAGCAGCATAACTGTTGTACAGAAGATAGGGCTTTCTTCTGTCACATGCCAAGGGACATACTTGAAGTGGTAGGTCCTGTGGATGAGTAACTGATGTGGTTTTTGTCACATGGTTGAGAAAGGCTGTGTTGCATTTCTGCAGTGAGTGGATGGGAATGCTTCAGTCAATATGTGACAATCTTTGTGCTGTCCAAAACCATTTTTGACCCCAGTTGCATCACCCCAACAGCTGAAAGTCCTTTAGCAATGTGCTTGTTTGCTTTCCATAACTACAATCTAAAGTGTGTGTGTATGTCTGTATGTGTACACAACAAACAGATGTATGAAAAAGTATGTGCATTGGTAGTTAAAAAGCAGTGATATCTAGTGGAAGACTAAGCAAAACTCCAAAGCCTCTCAGTGCCTTGTGAACATCAGACTCCTAACTTTCAGCATCTAATCTATCTAGAACCTGGTGAAGATGTGACATAAACGATGTGATTATCTAAATGTATATTTAAATTCAGTTTGAATTGAAAATCATTGATATCTGTTTAAGAGTTCTGTCTGTGCTTTTGTATGTCTCGAACTGTTTTATGGCACTGCTTTTCATTAATTATATTTTGACAGAAGAAATTCTTGCCCTTTTTTTTTTTCAGACTGAAGAACAAATGGGCCTCTCTGAAGAGCAGCTTAAGACCCTTCTGGAAGAATGTATGCAGCCTCAGAGAACAATGAGCAACGTTACCATGCCAAAGTCTCAGGAATCTCTTTCTGGTGGATTAAGTCCCCCTTGTTACACAAGTCAAGACTCCACTCTTCACTCCACATCTACTCTTTCCAAAATGTTAGTTGAAGACCATATTGTAGGGATGTTAATGGCTGAGGAAAAGGCTGGACTCGAAGACAAAAGCTTATGTGTTAATGCAGAGAGTGAAATCCCTGGCTACTATATCAGCAAAGCATTGGCTGATAGTCACTTATCAAAGGATTCACTGGCCCAAACAGAGGAACTTGATGACCTAGAAGGTTTACAGAAGATGGGAGATAAGAGTATTACTGAAGGTTACTTTATGTCAAGAGCACTCAACACAAAAAGGTTGAAGAAACCTTCTTTCTTGGGCGAACCATTATATTGCATCAGCATGAACAATGAGCCGTCCACAGAGGCTGACATTCTCAGCATACCACTGCAACCAAAGGAGGTGAGACTCTTAACAACCCTTTAGAATAGGCTTTTGATTATAATGAAAAAACCAAGCAGGTTCTCACCAAAGGTATGCACCAATACACACTGGTTATTGTGGTGGGGCAAGGATCTACTTTTATAAAACATAAAACTGTGCCAAAAATAACATACACAAAATAACAGAATGTTTAATAAAATTTTTGCCCTGACATAATTGACTGTAAGGCTAGGACTCTTATGAAATATAATATTGATGTTGATTAATTCTGTCAACTGGAAAACGAAGTTGACAACATACATGGATTATTTTTTTTGGTAGTAGAAAGTAATGTTCGCTGGTCTGTGGAAAGCAAATAATCTCCCAGTAGCTGATATAATGATTCACAGAAAATCCAAGTGTTTCTTCAATGTTTTTAATAAGTTAAACTCGTTAGTATAGAAACAAACATGACCTAGCTATATTAAAAATAATAAATTGCTTTCAGGGAGTTCAAATTTACACATAGAGAATAACAAAATGAATAAATACTGCATAATTTCTATAACTTACTTTTATTTCAATAAAAGAAAGAACAGAGTTTAACCAGCAAAAAATTAAATTCATTTTATCAGGTATTATAAAAATATTTATTATTTACTTAAATGCAATTATATAGTGATATTGTAAACTAAATCTACATTTAGATTTTTAGCCTAAGGCTTATCTTTCTGGAAAACAAACTGTTTTAATAAACAAGATTTTAGCAGGTACAGCAACTTCTTTCATTTCTTTCATAAAGGTTGTGACAGTATGAAGTTGTTGGTGATTAAAGTGCTATAGTATGATTCTATTAGAAATCGATGAATTTTGCTAGGTTTGTCAAGGTGGATCTTTGTAATACTGGTGATCTGTTCTGAATTTGGAAAAACATTTGTTCATTGGTAATTTAGAAGAACATCCTAATACCTCTTAACTGTGTTATCATCTCTTAATTATGATCACAACTGTTTCTTTGATTGTTTGAACTTAACCTTTCTACAGTGAAGGGAATGTTAATATTTTTTAAAATTATTCTTTTGAGACCACAATTCCACCTATCAGAAAGCATGAAGGCTTGTTACTGCTGGTTTTACCCTGCCAGACAAACTTGGTACCCAGACTCACCTGCCATATTTGCCCATTAGGAGGTTTAGGCCATAGCTGCAATAGGAATAAAATAGAAATACAATACCTTTAGAAAAGATTGAGGTTTGGGTTTTTTTTTGGTAGGTTAGTTTTCTGCTGACTTCACATGCCAGCTTTGCTCTTCATGTAGATGCAAGCATGAGAAGAGTGGAGCAGGGGAGGAAGGAAGTGGTCTGCCCCAGAGGTGAGCGGGGTGGCACTGGTGGTGATGGGGAACACCACAGAGAACCACCTCTGCCAGGGGCAGCCTGATCCCATGCAGGATTAACGTGACTACATAGTGCACCACCAGCCATCTTCAGCAGCTGACAGTCAGGAAAACTCAAGTTTAACTTGCTGCCTTCCCATGAATTAAATCCTCTTTTATTCTGAATAGATTTAGTATAGTTAAGTGTGACTCAGGCCAAAATACCACCTCTCTTTATTACTGTATTTTAAGATGGAATGTGTTAAATCAAGCAAAACACCACGCACTGCAGCTGCTGTGTAGTGAAGTGAGCAGGTAACTGTTTATACCTGTTGCCGTAGACATAGTCACTATGAGGTAATTTTATTGCATAAGAAACAAAGGGGATTTCAGCTACTAAGTAAATTTCCATATGAGATCTCTCATGGTAAAAGTCTTTAAAGTTAATTTGTTAACATTTATCACATAATAATTTAAATGTCTTTGAGTTATAATCATGCATTGTGTCAGAGAAATGCAATAGGGTTTTATGATTACCCATAGTGTCTGAGTAATGATCAACCGTATAGACCTCAAATCTGTGTGGTTAATAAACGTTTTGGTTTTGTGGTCATTTTGCTTACCAATTTTTCTGTAGGGTTGGGTGGTAGAAGTGTTCTGAATTTTCAGAATCTCCAGATCTTTTTATTTTTACTCAAAACCTATAAACAAAACCAAGGATATCATTACAGATATCATTACCTTATGCAGGCTTTGAGTCTTTGTGTCAGTGTCTCATTTTAAAAAATGGTGTGAACAGATAATCTTTAGGCACAATAAAAGTAAGTGCAAAATAAAACCCATTTCAGAGGTTTGTAATTGTTTTTACATTAGTGCCAAATATTTTGCAGTTATCCATAAATTCAAGTTAATTATACTCAGATTTATTGTATTCCATTAATATTACTCTAATGCTAAAATGTACATTCAAAATTAACATTTAAATAGAGAGCAATCCATTCTTATTATTTTTGTCAATGTACTGCTTATGAGAAAGTGTACAGCATAAATCAGAAAACCCTGATAACTTTCCATGGAATTCATTTGTTCCCCACAAAGCTGACTCAGTTCAATCTTAAGCAATAGTTCCTGGCCATAAGCAAAAGGTTGTGATTGTTATCAAATTTGTAAAGTTGCCTAATGTATTCTATTGATAAGCTTGTTGTTAGTTCAAACATGATTAGATGTGCTAATTGTGTGGAGAAATAGAGATCCCAGTGGACTCCAGTTTAAAGCAAATACATCTGCAGATTAAGGTATCAGGTGTATTTTTATTTTTAAGAGACTTTTACAGAGATGAGCTTTGTTATGGATTTAATTTTAAAGGACATTTAAACATACATACATACATAAACTCGGTGAACAGTTTGATTTTCTGGACTGCTATGCATGGTTTAAACTCTGCGTAGTGCTGTGTAAGCAAACAAAACTGTGAAACTGGTTTAGCGGAATTTCAGTTTTGCAGTCATTATGGTGCTGTAGTTTGTAATATAGATTTACTGTAATACATTATTTAAGGAAAGCATAATTATTAACATCATTCATAGATATATATTTGTGTATACTTATATATCTGAGAGAAACTCATGTGTCCTCAGAAATAAATAATTCTTACTTCTTCAAAGAAGCAGTAATTTGCATCAGGGTCATATGCATGTAAATATAGGTGCTGTTTACTGAAATAAACAGAAGCCAGACTTAACCACATACAGATATGAAAAGCTTTTTATTTCTCAGTTGTATGAGCTAATTGGTAATAATTTCTAGCTCTTTTTTTTTTTTTTTTGCTATACTGTTTTAAGTGGAAGTTGTATCATAACCTGCTGTTGCTTTTTCCTCTTGCAAATAATACTGTGCTTGCAGCAGTTCAGTGTGTGATTCTTTTCTTTTTTACAGATGATATGAAGACAGAAAGAGGAGGGAAGATTGACTATATGCTTCTTTACGCAATATTTTTTCTAAAAGTGTGCTTTTCAGACACTCTGAAGGGAATGAAGTATCATCATTGAAAAATGTTCCATGAGGTGATTTATTCTTAAGAGATTATTATTATTATTATTATTATTATTATTATTATTATTATTATTATTATTATTATTATTATCATATATTGTTGCAATTAGATTTCAAGATGAACTCTTGCACTTCATTGCGTTTCTGGGAAGTATTCTATCTAATAAATAAATGTACATACTCATTTGTGTAGCTGTGTGTCTGATAGATGTGCTTGTCTTTGTTCATGAAAAATACAAAGTACAGCTTGCAAAGTTCTGTTTCTATTGATGAGACTTTATTAGAACGGATGTGCAATGTATATAATAATTTTATCTTTCCTCCTTTACACACAGTGTACTTTTTTCATGTAGTTAGCTAAAACCTGGCCTCTGTTATCCCAGCACAGTTTGCTGGAGCTTGCAGCCTGCCTGTCCTTAGTGAAGGACCCAAATACCTCCCGGGTCTTCTGCCGTGGGGCTGTCTGCTGGACTCCTGGTTTGGTGAAGGTAAGGACTTGTATGGGTCCTTTGCTGGATGGGACCATCTGCAGCGGCTGCCCAGCTGTGTCCCGTTCTTGGTCCCACGGAGTGTGACCACAGAGTTGTGTATGAAAAGCAGCCCTTCCCGCTGGTTAAGCAGCGTTAACGCAGCCATGAAAGCTCGTGGTCCCTTGTGAAGGCTTGGTGCAAATTAAAGTGAAGGAGTTCAGAAGTTTGCCCAAGTGGCTACCGGGTTGTGAAACCTTATGGTAATGGCCAGCTGGGGGGAGGGTGACACAGCTGGTTTGTGTTTGAGGTAAAAATTCATTCGAAGTCTTTGTTTGTCTGCTCTTTAACTACTGTTGCTCCTGAATTGTCTACATATATACTGAGCTGATGGTTAGTTTTTAATTTCATGCACTGTGGTATCAGAATAAGAATAATTTATTGAAAAAAACCCTATGGTTCTCTCTCCAAGTTTTGTTTTTTTAGGGGGGGAGCTGTTCTAGCAAAGAAAACTCAAAAGATTTTCCCACTGCCAAGCTCTCAGTTGACACGAGCTAAAAGGACAAATTCTTTCTCAGATACTATGCTAGCCGTTTAACATTCAACAGGAAAAGATGTATGGATACAATGTTAACTATGCGATGCTTGTTAGCCCAGAGTTTAATCTCATTTAGGGAGTTGCCAGTCTGAGTGCATGTGCACCCCTGAGGAAGTGGTAATGGTGTGGATATAACAGAGATCAGAATCTCACCTGCTTTCTTTTGATTAGAAACGAGATGCTGGATTTGTGACAAGCAAGTGCTATTTATTGTTCTATTTTCTGATATTTTTACTTGTTTTGCAAAAGCAATACCAAGCCCATGGATACTGAGCGTTGTGCGCAGTCCTGTTGCCCAGCGTAGGATTGCTGTAAGCACATTTCATGGAGCTTTGCAAATCTCACCTAGGTGTATTTCCTATTTTCCTTTAAAATTTTAAGTCTGTGTCATAATTTCTTTACCATAAATATAATCAAAACAGTGCTGACAATGTTTTTTCAAGAGTATTTTCTGTGCCTGTGTGACTGTCCACTGGCTGTAATCATTCCATAGTCCCCTTATTTTCACATTGGATTCATGTTTTATAGAGTCCGACTCAAAACCAGTGTTAAAGCGCTTGTATAGTTTTGGAAGAAAACTAAGTTATGTTTCAAGTTTATATGTAATTTAATATTAATGTATATTAAGAGAAATAATAATTAATTCTTACTTTTCCAGTGTATTTTGTTATCTTAAATCTCTCACTGTTGTGAAAAAGCTTTTCTTGGCACCCTGAAGGAAGAGCCTGTTGCTGACTAAACCTTACAATACTCCTGAAATCATGAATACAACTTTTTATTCACATCTGGCGTTTAAGGGATAAGCAGGCAAGTTTGAATGACTGTTGACTTGAAGAGTGTATTCCGACAGGAGCTCTGTTACTTCACTTCAGGCCTTGGGAGGTGCCACGCTCCCTGCCCCAGCTGCAGCTGCTGCAAACCGCGGGGACCCAGCGCTCCTAAGATGCTGTTCCAAAATTGCTCATGGTCAGTACCCAGACTCAGAGGCTGTGTCAAAAATTAGTGACCCCTAATTTATGTCTTGCATTTCTACTGCATTATATTAAATAACAGATTCTTCGGGAGGATTTTATTTCTTGCTTGATGTTACAGGTGAAATATCAGTTCAAGCCCTCTTTTCTTTATTTTCAGTTTTAAGTAAAACTGTAGGAAATAAAACTATTTCTTAGTTTACTATTTATGTGTTTACTGTTATGAGGAACAGAATAATGGAGATTTATATAAAATATAGTGACAAGGTCATTTGCTGAAATATCACCAGTATCAGGGTAAAAGAAAAGTGGATCCTAGGAGGTTTAATGAGTTTTTCTTTGTTTTTCCAGTGTCTCTTGGTTGTGACCTGCAATAACCCCTCCATTGAGTGTGCCACTGGAATTCCAGCTGCACTGGAATGCGGTGGCTTCTCCTCAGGGAGTGAAGCAGCAGCAATGATTAAGATATTTAAATGAATTTTCATTTGCAGTCTAACTCAGGCTTTGCAAACAGGTTTTCCAAAATACATACGTTCATTCAGCATAAGTTGTATTTGGCAAAAGATTCTGGCAACTAGCTTATTTACAGTCTTTCCAAGCTCTGTTCATCCCAAAACACAGCAGAGCACAGGAGACTGATCTTTAAAATTTTAATTCTGACTTTTGGGCTTTGAGATTTATTTTATATTAAGGAATAAGAAATTTTGTGTGTGCATGTAGGTTTGTGCTCTTTTGTGCTCCTTATCTGATTTCCCACAATGATTTTACAGCACAAGAGAGATAATTTTGTTCCAAAAAATTAATATTGGTGAAAGCAACATACCCATGATTTTGGTGTGCTTGCATCTGTCTGCTGAGCCATATATGACCAGACCATTCTGCTGTTGTTGCTGAGACTCCCCAGTGAAATACTTACAGTGCTGGTGTTCGTGGAGGCCAGCGCTCAGCTGCTGATACTGATTTACTCCAGTGGGTGTGTTCCAATGCTGTATGGTTTGCCCTTTTAAATTGCAAACTCCACAGTGTTTTCCTCTGAAAGAGTAAATTAAGGGTGATTCAATCATTTTCATGAACCATATGTGTGTACATATAAGTATATATAAATTATAAGTATGAAATTTATATATAATATTAATACATATATTTGAATAGGATGATTTAAAGAGCTATAGTGTTGATTTCAGGATATTGTAGTGGTGTGAGAGGTTCAGTCTGGATTTACAGTTATTATGCAGATTTAGAGCGGTTAAGAGTCTTTTCCATTTCAAAGAGAAGCGACAGACTAAATATCCTGATTTAAAAAAAAAAGATAAAGTTTGTTGACTATAGAAAACAATGATAAAAGGGGTGAAGTTATATGTCCAAAATTCAAGTTTAAATAAAAGTAATTCTATGAAGGGGTGAAAGAACTTCCAGATCCATCATAAAAGAAAAAAAGAGGAGAACACCCCACAAAAATTCTCATCCAAATGCTTTTTTCCAAGCCAGACGATAACTGATATCTACTCTGTGGATCTGTAGTGCATGTTTTCCCTCTCACTTCCCCAGCAGAACTCCTGCGGAGCCAGTGGCCGTGCTGAGCGCAGAGTGAAAACAGGCTGTGCAAAAATTATCTGCTGCATAGATCAGAGAGAAAAGGGCTGCTTAAACATGTCATCGGAGTAGCAAAGACTAGTCCAGCAGTGCGAAAAAGTATGCCAGTAATTCATGGGCTAGAAAAGGTGCAATTTTACCTCCCCGGTTTTACCTTGGGGAGGGATAGGTGAGAGCCTGTTGTTTGCAGCTCAATTTCTGTAATGTCAATAATGATAAGAGTTTTTATATTTTATTAAAACCCCCCTATTTTCTAGATAAAATTTCAGCAAACAATATGAGAATGCACCTCTTCTCTTTGTTTTGCTTCTTAGAAAGGCTTTCTAACCACAGCTTTAAATGAGATATCTCTCTTTTGCTTTTTAGGTGCAAAATCTGCTACACTGTTTACGGTTCCAAGAGTGCCTCCTCCCCCACTTACAAACAAAAGAGCCCCACCTCTGGGAGTTTGAAGGGTAGACACAGAAGACAAGGTGGTTTGGCAGATGCTTGAGAAGTTGGTAAGTTAGAAAGTTCTTGAAATGTAGGAAAAATAATAACTGTGATATCCTCTGAAAGAGTAAATTAAGGGTGATTCAATCATTTTCATGAACCATATGTGTGTACATATAAGTATATATAAATTATAAGTATGAAATTTATATATAATATTAATACATATATTTGAATAGGATGATTTAAAGAGCTATAGTGTTGATTTCAGGATATTGTAGTGGTGTGAGAGGTTCAGTCTGGATTTACAGTTATTATGCAGATTTAGAGCGGTTAAGAGTCTTTTCCATTTCAAAGAGAAGCGACAGACTAAATATCCTGATTTAAAAAAAAAAGATAAAGTTTGTTGACTATAGAAAACAATGATAAAAGGGGTGAAGTTATATGTCCAAAATTCAAGTTTAAATAAAAGTAATTCTATGAAGGGGTGAAAGAACTTCCAGATCCATCATAAAAGAAAAAAAGAGGAGAACACCCCACAAAAATTCTCATCCAAATGCTTTTTTCCAAGCCAGACGATAACTGATATCTACTCTGTGGATCTGTAGTGCATGTTTTCCCTCTCACTTCCCCAGCAGAACTCCTGCGGAGCCAGTGGCCGTGCTGAGCGCAGAGTGAAAACAGGCTGTGCAAAAATTATCTGCTGCATAGATCAGAGAGAAAAGGGCTGCTTAAACATGTCATCGGAGTAGCAAAGACTAGTCCAGCAGTGCGAAAAAGTATGCCAGTAATTCATGGGCTAGAAAAGGTGCAATTTTACCTCCCCGGTTTTACCTTGGGGAGGGATAGGTGAGAGCCTGTTGTTTGCAGCTCAATTTCTGTAATGTCAATAATGATAAGAGTTTTTATATTTTATTAAAACCCCCCTATTTTCTAGATAAAATTTCAGCAAACAAT